CATTAATAACAAACAATAAATTTACATGGACATATAAGACGCGGTAGGTAGTGAGAAATCCCTTCTACTTACAATACCCCAGCCCGCGGTGTGGCTCCAGCGGCAGGGCAGTTTTATTACTGCCTCCCTGTCTTTCTCTCTCTCTCTCTCCCTCTCTCTTTCTCCCCCTCTCTCCCTCTCTCTCTCTCTTTTTTCTCGGGGTACAGGCTTGTTTTTCAAAGGACAGTTGAATTGCACGTCAGAAACAGGGAGACCAAGCCTGCGATTTTCCTGACGAATACATAGCTATTCTGCAACCTCGGCATTAATTATTTAATGAATCACGTGACCGGGAGGGGGAAGGGGGTCTTTCGATCTCAGGCTCAAAGGACCACTATGACCTTCCCCTTCAGGAGGAGAAATTTTTTTCCCTGCAAAATAGGCCCCCACCACCACCAATGGAATAGTAGTGAGGTTTCCTTTCACTCTCCCACACTCAGCTACCAGACCTACAGCTCTCTAACACCCCCACCCCGACAATACACACTTACCCACAGCCCACCTCTCTTCTCTCCTTTCTCCTCCTGCTTCTGCCTAGTTCGTGGAGGTGCAGGAATAGTCTGCAGGGGCGTCTGGGGGTGGGGGTGGGGTGGGCGCCGAGCCCTTCTCTAAGCCCCTGAATTTCTCAGCTTCCAATTCTTCTCTCTGCATCTTGTAGAATTAAGAGCCTCCGACTCTATTCTCTCCCTGACTCCCGGCATATTTATTTTTGTAGGACCTACTCTCCCTTCTTCCTACATCATCAACAGAATGTTGCAGGGGACCAGCTAGACAACAATTCATAATCATTTATAAATAGGCACATATGGAATGGGACTTGTCTTTTCCTCTTTTGAAGTCCCTTTTGAAGGGGCAAAATAGGGGCAGGGTGCACAGAGGAGCCTGGAGCTTCCAGAATGGAGAAGAAGCACAGGGAGATGGCTTTTTTGTCCTGGCCTTGCTGGCTAGCACTGTAAGGAACCCCAGCCTCCGGTGGGCTCCTTGGGGTGTGTGCTCTGGAGACAAAGACCAGGAGAAAGGTTTCTACACAAAAGACAGGACACTCAGCCTCTCTCCTATCTGGGACAGGCTCTGACTCAGCCCACCCCCAAAGCACCAGTGAAAACAGCGGCAGATTTGAACTTGATAGGAGGGAGGGTGAAAAAAGACACTTTGAAGTTGGCTTGGCCGCCCAGTGCCTAAGGCCCAGGTGTTTGTACCCCCAGTTTCAATTAGCAGCCAATGTAAACTGATCAGTGGGGGCAAGGTGAGGGATGGTGTGTGTGTGGGGTGTTAAAGTCAAACTCCAGGGCTAGGAGAAACCCATTCCCCTGGATCAGAGAGAGAGAGGTGTACGCAGCCTTGTTCACCTAGCAAAGAAACAAAATAAGACCCCCAAGCCCCCCACCTCAGAATGGGCAGACCAGTGTAGAGGCAGAATCAGAAGGTTGGTCCCAGCACGTGGAACTGAGGAGATGAAAAGACTTTCCCCCATAAGCCCCTCGCTGCTGGCTTTCCTCTGGCCCGGACGTTTGTTTAGCCGCTCTCGGGGTCTCCTTTCGGCCAAGCCACTGAGACCCCCAAGGAGATGAAAAAAACAAAATGCCATTTGGGGGTCCCGGAGTCGGGGTCAGCCCAACTCCACGGGATTGTTTGGAGGGGCCCAACCCAAAAGCAGGTCTCTGAAGAGAAGGTTCAGAACTCAGAGGCCTAAGCACCCCCCCCCAAAAAAAAACCCGGGGTGCCCCGGGCGTGTTCTAGCGGTGCCTGAGGCCCGGCGGTGAGACCTGCATGCGCCCAAGTCACTCAGCCGCCGGCCTCGCGGCCCGGTGCCCGGGCGCCAGCGGGGCCCAGACTCTGTAGGGGGGTGGTCGGCTTTGATTGTCCAGATAACAAAACCCAGACTCCTATTGAATTCAGCCTGCTGGCGCTGTGGGCTCCCGTCCAGCCACAAACCCATTCAAAATAGTTCCAGAAACGCAAAAAGAAAAACACTCCGCTACGTCTAAGAGAAAAATAGACTATATGCTAACGTATGAGAAAACTCAGCAATATCTGACACCGGAGAAATTCTCTCTGTCGCCTTTTTTCCCCCCAGCACAAGAAAAAGAAGAGTAAAACGAGCGGGCGGCAGGGGCCGGGCAGATCTGTTAAAATGCCCACACTCTGTTCGGATCCTGGGAATCTCCGAGTTCAAATAAACAAGCGCCGGAGCGCGGGCTCCGCGCTCTCCTGCCGGCCGATAAAGCGAACGTTTATACTGGGAGAAAGGCGAGATTGATTTACGAATCTGAACGCGCCGTTTTATGGCCGATCACAAATCCGTCAGCGCTCAACTCACGCTGGGAAACTTCCCAACTCCGCTTTCCAACCAGACCCTGCTCCCCTGCCGCCGCCGCTTCTCAGGGAAACCCGCTGCGGGGCCGGGCAGCCTCTGCGGGCTCCAGGAGGACCGGGCAACCCCCACGCTGATCGGAGAGGTTGTCCAACTGGCGGCTGGACGGTGGGAGGACCGGGAGGAAAGAGGTGGGGGGAGAGCGATCAAAAGATTGGAAGAACTCAGGTGTGCCCACAGGCAACATTGGGCTGAGGTCACAGCGGCCTTGCAAGGAGCCTGCGTGCGGCTACTCAGCCTTGAATAGGGAAAGACGATCCCAAAGCCCCAGAGCTCGGGGCTAGAACCTTTGAGTGAACCCCAACCTTGTTTTCCCATTGGTCCCTCCTCTTTCTCTTTCGTGGACCTCTTACCCCCAAAACGCCCACAACTGCTGGCTTGGAAAGTCTCCAGGGCCCTGGTCTTTGTCATTTGGCTCTATGGAGGGGTACATAATTGGTTGTGATGGGTGTATATCTCCCCTGAACCCCAAATATTTATAGTCCAGGGGATTGCCTAGATCCCCATCCTTCTCACCCCCTTTCCTTCCTGTCGCCTCCAGCCTTCTAATTTTGTCCCCATAGGGTCTCTATGAATTGGGATCTACTCCATGACAGTGAATTTTTTTGGAGCTATGGCATATTTATTTATGACAAAAGAGGAGATAGCAACCCTGGTTATGATTATTATTGTTGCTGTTTTGCCTGTAACAGGAGTCTCTCCAGTAACAGGAAACAAATCGATGAAACGCAAGCCGGTACCTGACACACATCCCAGCAAAGTTCTCACTCTCCATCTTAACTGGAAGATGGCATTTCCTCTTTCCAGTCCTGTCTTCGCATAGCTGTCTTGCCCACTTGAGGGATGCCTGCTGATGTGGCTTTGTAACATTCAGCAGGTAGAATACAGATTTGGAAAGGCTCTGTTTGGTGTGCACTTCTTCCTAGCAAGCTCCCCCCTCATCTGTTAAAATGAAAAGTTTCTGGAAAGTTTGGTTAGAACAGCGAGAGACGTGGTCGTGGTCAGAAGAGCCTGCATCGACCTTCTCCCCATCTGTCTTACTCCTCTGGCAGGCCAGGCACTCCCCGTGCGCTGTGAGTAGCTGGGGATGGGATTGAGGGTTTGGAAGAGGGAGTAAAGGTGATCAAACTAATAGATTCCTAAACAAAGGAACTTGTGAACATGTTGGAGAGGCTGGGGATGTGAATATCAGGCCTTAGATAAGGTTCCCTTGTGATGGGAGTTGGCTCACTCCTTAAGCCCTCCGAAGCCCTGAGAATGGAGCTTCTCCGATCTCTCTACGCACCTCCCTTTGTCCTTTTTCCCTGAGCTCCTTATAAGCCCCAAGCAAAAGAGACAAGAAGGAGCTGTGGCCTGGCCTAGGGAAGGGATACTAAATAGAGAAAAAGATCAGCCTCCTATTTTCCTCCCCCCAGCTGGACCTCCGGGGCTAACGTTTTTTTATTCCTCTTCTCCCTAATGATCAGTAATAGAAAAATGATTCAGAAATACCAAAACAGCAAAGAAGGGGTTAGGGGTGAGTGGGGGACAGGGAAGGAACACACCACAGCCCAAGGACCCCTCCCTACAGAGGAGGTGTAACTTTCCCTCCTAGGCAGGAGGCAAGAGCCAGCACAATGTCCAGTCTCAGAGAGGTCAAGGGGCTTCCGAGGTCATTTTGTGGTTGGAATACTGAGCTAATCGCCTAGAAAACGTGGCCTCTCCATGAACTCTCTCCTGCCTGCCTCCAGTCTCCAAACCCTCTGAGAGCCTCAGGGAAAAGGGACCAGTGTTTTCAGGGCCCAGGCAGAGCCCACTAGCTTCCTTGCCCTAAGAAGAGGTGGGAACAGAGCCTCCCAAACCCAGGGGACCAAAGGAAACCCACCCAAAGCCCAGTCTCCAGGAAGAGGGAGACCGATCAGAAAAGAGGAACATCCCTGTGTCAGCAGAACCTGAAAGCTTCCTTGTGAAGGGAGCCGTTTCCTGCTCCAGAGAGTAGCAAATATTTGTCTAGCATCCCAAGCTAGACACAAGACAGAAACAAACACATCCCTCTTTAAGCCAGCGCCAAGGTTGGAAGATTCCACCCAAGGTCTGAACTCCGTCTTCCCCAGGCTGCAGTGGGAACAGCTCAGCTCACCCACCGTTAAACCGGCACAGGAGACACAAGCACCCAGAGTGGGAAAGCGGAGTCCCAGGAGCGCCTGGGCCACATGTCCGCATTGCAGACGCACCACATGAACACACATAAGCACAGGCTGGGGCTGCTGGCCCGCCTGCAATCCCCCACACCAGAAAAGCCCTTCTGAACTGCCTGCCAAGCCGCCTTCCTCTCTGGGATGTTTCAGGGGCCCTGACACCTCCGTCCGAAGCAGTTCAAACGCTCTCCAGGTGTCAGACCCCTCTCTCCCTCTGACTGGGACATCAGTCATCATAAAAGGCAGCAAACCTGCTCAGGCATCTGCATCATAAAATTAAAAAACTAAAACTAAAAAAACCCTAGAAGACAGTTGAAAAAGAAAAGGAGAAGGCGAAAGTGTTTCTTCTTTCACTTGTGAAAGAGCTCATAAAAGCTTCCCAAATACCAGCCCGAGCCCGGCTTTGTTACCTTTCCGCCACTCGCCTCCTCTCGCCTGGGCTCCGCTGATCCCATTCATGATGAGCGGCTTCTTCCAAACTGAGAGAAAAAAGTTTGCAACTTTATGGTTCCAATTTTTTTGCCCCCTCGCAGATCCCGGAGAGACAGCTAACACTTTTTTCCCCCAACAGCCGGTCTGCAGAGGTTTGCTGTTGAATAATAACAAAGGAGAGAGGATACGTATTTAAAGAAAAGAAGTGATTAATGGTTTTCTGTATAATTCTCACATTTTTCTTAGCTCTTGTCTACACAGAATGGCTGTGAACTTTAAGCTCCATAGAAATCTTTTTTTTTTTTTTTAATTCTATTCATACCTTCCAAGGAGCAGCTTTGATTTGGTTCTATTGAGACATTCCTGGGGGGGCATCTGTTTTTTAAGAACGTTTTTTTCCCATTTCTACTAAGGACCATGGCATCTCCTTGCAGCTCAATATCACACCGTAACTCCCAGGGAAACAAAGCCCGCCTGGCTCATCATCCTTAAGTCCGGGGTGGTTTTTCATGACTCCTGGCCGGCCAGTGCACGGGAACCTTTCCCACTGTAGACTGTAGATGTGGGATGGAGGGGGGATTCCCTATCCGAAAATGACCGGCGCTTCACACATAGGAAGAACAGTAATAATTTTAAAAAACCTTCTCCTCCCTGATGACTCTGATAGGTTAAAAAAACATCCAAAGAAAACATATAGTGGAATTGGCTATTTTTATTTTCTGAAGGGAGATGAGACTAAAATGAAAAACTGTCTTTAAATAATGTACCTTCTCTGGAGCCCTACACTTTTCGGAGGCCTGAGCCCCCAGTAGGACCAGAGACCCCAAGGCTGGAACCCCCAGACCTTAGAATTTCTCAGTGGTGCTGCACCAGTGTGGCCCAAGACTTTAGAGCTTCTCAGGGTCATCTGCACCCCTTGTTCCCTTCCCCCACCCCATTCTAGGGGTGACTGAGACCTCAGAGACAGAAAGCTATTTGGTCCCCGGTCGCACTTTCGATATTTTCTATGAGAAAGAAAATGAAAATTAATACAGGAGCAGGGCTTCACAAAAGAGGCAATTTGTCTTCTTGATTATCTATTTGCTTGTCAGAGTTTGAGCTATGGCACCAGCTCGCTCCTTTGTAATATAAAAATACTCTGAAAACCTGCAAACACCCAGAAACATCTGTGCAAAAAATTAGACTCATTAAAGCCGTAAACACCTCAGAGGAACGCGATACCTTCTTATTCAGGGAGGAAAGAGGCTGGCCTCACAGAATCCTCTCTCGGAACTTTAATAACCAAAGAGCCGTCTGTCTCATAAGAGACAGCTTAACCGCATTTTATTTGCTTATGACAAATAAATCACGATATGAAAGGCTTTGCCATACTTAAGCCTCTGTGTGCTACAGTGACACATCCCCCCCTCCTTAAGGACTGGAGTCAGCCCTCCCAGTCCTTTCCATCCTTTTTTTGCACTGGAGGGGGGGGGGAGGAGAATTTTAAGCCCCCAAATAAAACCCATCCACCCCCAAAAGGAAAACTAACCAGCTTCTACAACAGGGACTCCATAGAAATTCCCATTTGACCCTCTGGGAGTGGGAAACTTCAAAGACAGACAATGTGCAGTCCATAGAGCTGAACGGACTGGGGTGCTTCCAGTACAACCGAGGTGGCTTCTGTCCATCTTTTCATCAAGGTTTCAACAAAAACACTCTGGGTTGGTCACAAGAAACCAAACATTTATTTCTATTGTCACTCAGTACAGGACACACATTTTCACACCAGCGAAGAATTCTAGAGTTCTAGACTTAGACAGCCCCAGAGGTAGGAAGGGAGGGAGCTGGTTTGGAATGTCAGCAAGAGGACAGGAGAGGAGGATGCACATGACATAAAACCAGTCATAATAATAATAATAATAACAAACGACGCAAGAACGATAATCTATGGGTGAGGGCTCTGCAGCAACGCGGTCCTCCGACTGGGAGGGGCACGTTTTATTTCCTAAGTTTCACATTCCTTTTCAGTCTGGGAGAGCGAGCGAGTCTCCGCTGCAGCACCCCCACATTGGCGAGAGGGTTGGGCCGGCTCTGAGCGCTCGCTCCACTGGGCCCTCACCCTGCCAGGCCCGGTGGGCTCTCTAGAGAAAGACCCTCGCCCAATCTCCGGGTCTCTGAGTCTCTCCTTTTAAACTTGGGCCTCAATTTCCCTGCCGTTTCCTGCTTCACCAACACTGCCTCCCCCACCCCCCACTCGCCTCATTTCTGCTCCCCAC